TCCCCCCCCCCCCGTCTCGCTTTTAAGTTTATGCACATGGGAGGGGCCCCTCCCCCGCTCGCTTTGCTTTCTAGTCCGTGGGGTACGGAGCTTTCTTTTTGAATTGCAAATACGCCTTAATCCAACTCACAGTTTGTCATCGGTCATACGAACTCGTTTAGCCTCCGTTTTAACCGCTCGATCTCTTGCACTTGCCCCGGTCAGCGTCGCTTCTTCCATTTGGACACTCAGCAGGAGGACCATCGGGATGGAGAAGCGCCTTGATTCCCCAGCATTGCGCTAGCGAAGAGGCGACCTCTCAAAAGTCCCCTGGCTAGGAGCCTTTCAGCCAGGCTCCATGGGAGGTAGCGATTCCTCCCCCCCCCCTTCCTGCTGGTGCACAGCTTTCACCCCCCGGGAGGTCCGGGTGGTGAGTCTGCTCAGCGCGCCGCCATAGATCAGAAATGATGATAATTCCTATGTATAGACATAAACAAAAAAAAGTTCCTGAAAATGTTGTATAAATGCAAATTTTGCCAAGTTAATATGCTATAATGCATTAAATGATCCATTACTAAAGTGTTCAGTGTTTTCACTGGGTAGCCGTGTTGGTCTGAAGCAACAGAACGGAGACTGAATCCTGTGGCACCTTTAAGACCAACAGTTTTTAATTCTGGGTATAAGAGTGCGTGTACACGAAAGCTTATGCCCAAACTCAAACTTTGCTGGTCTTTAAGGTGCCCCTGGACTCAAACTTTGTTCTAATATTTTCACTGTTAGTTTTGCTTAATAACCAAATCTGTTGGTAGTTCTACCAATTGTGGCTGTATGAGAGTGTTTTGGTCCAAAGAACACACTTTCTTCTGTTCATTCCAGAATTTTTCTTTTCTTTTTTTACAATCATTTTTTTTATTTTTATAGACAAACATGTAAGAGAAGAAAAAATATTCTTACAGATTCTTTTTAAACAAACTCTTCCCTAACAACTGGTATACTTCTCTATGTCACCATATATCATTAGGCGTATCTCTTGCAAATGTATCGAAGTTATACTTTGTATGACCTTAAACAGTTTTGAATGTCTATGTAATTTATTTACTGTAGTCTTCAAACCACTTATAAAATCTTGATCACGTATTGTCAAATGTTGACTCTGGTTGTCCTTTCCAGAGTTCAGAATTTTTCTACCTCCCACTTTTATTTTTTCCTGCCTCTCAGATGGCAAAAATAAAGACAAATCTGCCAAGGTAGCACAGAGTACAGCAGTTTGCATCTTTTTCTCAAGTATTAGGTATACTTGCAATTTTTGTTTTAGAAACTGAAGTCTTTTATACTTTTTAATACCATAAATATGCAAAAGTACAATTTTATCTGCTAAGTTATAAATGATGCATTTTATGTTGTTAAATCAATAAAGTTTAGGTTTGATAGGAAAGTAACGGACACCTATATTTCAATTTTGCCCAAAATTTCTGGAGTTTTTTTGGAGGGAGGGGAGAAAAGCAATGCTTCAAACTCTCCGGAGCTGTTAGAGCTGTAGTCCCACTACCTCATGGCTGCCTCTCCCGTTCCCAGATGGCTTCTGCGACAGATGCTCGCTACGGCCAGAAAGAGTCCTCCGACCAGAACTTTGACTATATGTTCAAAATCCTCATCATTGGCAACAGCAGCGTAGGCAAGACATCCTTCCTCTTCCGGTATGCCGATGACTCCTTTACCCCGGCCTTTGTCAGCACCGTTGGCATTGACTTCAAAGTGAAGACCATCTACCGCAACGACAAACGCATTAAACTACAGATCTGGGTGAGGCGGGCATTCTGCCTTGGAGGGTGGCTTTGTAAGGCTTACAAGAGGGAGCATGTGCGGGGGACGCTTGTGGTTGGTCTGGCCACAGTCAGGATGGAAGGCAGAGCTAGACCATCAGTCTCCCTTAGCTGGGCGATTTGTTAATTGATGGATTTGATGAACAGGTCCTTGGGCTAAAAAGTGGGCTTTATAAATGAGCGAACAAAGACAAGTCTTCCCCCCCCCCCCTGCACTTTTCCAGGATACGGCGGGTCAGGAACGGTACCGAACCATCACCACAGCCTACTACCGGGGTGCCATGGGCTTCATCTTGATGTATGACATCACCAACGAAGAGTCATTCAATGCCGTCCAGGACTGGTCAGTTCTGTTGGGTTCCCTTGCCTGGGGGAGGGGGGGAGCAGAAGGTGTCCAGGCGAGTAGAGAGGAGACAGGTGTGCAACCTGAGAATTCTCCAAGGTTTTAGGACTGGGTGTTGGGGCCAGTTGAGCACTTTGAAATTTATTCACTTAATTTATTTACAAAATTTGTGTCCCACCTTTCTGCCCTTAAAAGGGCCACCAAGGCAGCTAACTGTTTAAAATATGTATGATCAAATCACATTTTGAAACCACTAAAATCATCCCCCCCAACACATGTCATTAAAACAATTAAAAGACAGAGCTAAAATACATACCCAACATAAAAATGGCAATTAAAACATTGGTTGGGAAGGAGGGATCATTGAGGGAATGCCAAATGAGACAAAAATGCCCTCACCTGCCAGTGGCAGATGGGAACAGAAGGGGACGAACGAATCTCCCCGAGGAGACAGTTCCAGAACTTCGGTGCCACCACCAAGAAGGCACTCCCCTGAGATTGCTGCCCACCTAACTGCAGAAGACAGGGCACGCAAAGCAGGGCCTCCAAAGGTGACTGTCATGGTTGGGTGGGTTCATAAGGGGTTAGGTTTTGAAGGTCAAGACCAGCACCTTGGATTGTGCCTGGAAACAAATTGGAAGCCAGTGTCGATAAGCCAAGACTGGAGTGATAAGGCCTGTACGACCCACTCCAGTCGACATCCCGGCTACAGCATTCTGTACCGACTGTGCTGTGTGGGGCTGGCCCATGTGCTTCTACTCATCCGCGGAGTCCCCTTTCCCCCCCCCATGTCTCCCATCAGGTCAACCCAGATCAAGACCTACTCGTGGGACAATGCCCAGGTGCTGCTGGTGGGGAACAAGTGTGACATGGAAGACGAGCGGGTGGTGTCTTCGGATCGGGGCCGCCAGCTCGCAGAACATCTGGGTGAGTGGGGGTGGAGCCTGGGGGTGGGAGTTCCACTCTCTGGGGTGGCTGCCTTCCCAAAAGGTGCAAATGAAGCCAATTTGTATAATTGTACAAGTCACAGGATTCCCTTTCTGCAGGCTCAGAAGGGGGGGGGGAGGGGATTGTTTTAAAGCAGACACCTGCCAGAGAGCAGCTTAGCTACTGAAAGGAGTGATATGGCTTTGAGAGCTCAAAGTGACCTAGCCACACCACCCCATGCTGAAGAAGAAATGGGGGGGGGGCTTGTTTGTGGTCAACCCCCAAAAACGATGCTCTGCCAGACCAGTGTATTTGCACAAGCCGACTGCCTGTGACATTTGGGCAAAAAGACAGCTAAGCATGCTCGGGGTTTGCCAAGTTCTGCCTTGAGAAAACTTCCTTCCCTCTGTCATCCTTGGGGGGCACCCAGCAAAGTGGACGGGCAGGAGCTGCAGGCAAAGAATCAGAAGCGGTTCGTGCCAACAGTGCAGAACTGATGTGTGGAAGTCACTGGCACGGCATGGAGTGGTGTCCCCTGCTTTAGGTGGCTCTAAAAGGGAGTGAGATGAAAAGAGAGGTAGTGGGGTGAGGGTTTATCATGGCCGGTAGCTTATTCGTGGTGGTGATGGAAAATGCCGTAAAGTTGCAGCCGAATTTTGGGGACCCCCGTAGAGTTTTCAAGTCAAGAGACAGACAGAGGTGGTTTGCCATGCCCTGCCTCTGCGTAGCAACCCTGGGCTTCCCCTGTCGTCTCCCATTCAAATACTAAACCAGGGCTCACCCGGCTTAGCTTCTGAAATCTGACAAGAGTGGGTTTAGCCTGGGCAATCCAGGTGAGGGACAGCTTATTCAGAGACCAAATTAAACCTCCATGTTCAGAGGCAGTACACCTCTGAATATGGGTTGCTGGAAGGGGCGTCTGCCCCACGTGCAGCTTGGGGTGGGTGGGGTGTCCAGCTAGGCTGGGCTGGGGAAGCCAAGCTGTCAGTTCAGAGTCGCCTCTTAGAACCACCCACTCCTGTCCACTGGGCTGGGCTCCCTTCCCCTGGCTTTGAGTGTCATGCTTACCCCTCGCTCTTCCTGTCTATGTCTTGCCTTCCTTCCTCTGCACCAGGGTTCGAGTTCTTTGAGGCCAGCGCCAAGGACAACATCAACGTGAAGCAGACCTTTGAGCGCCTGGTGGACATCATCTGTGAAAAGATGTCCGAGTCCCTTGATGCGGCTGACCCAGCGGTGACTGGGGCCAAGCCAGGTCCCCAGCTGACTGACCAACAAGCCCCCCCACACCAGGATTGTGCCTGTTAAAGAGACTTTGGTGTGGCACCCCCAACCCCTCCCCGTTCCTTCTGGAACCCAGAGCCCTAGACACACACCCCCACCCCAATGCTTACCCTTTTATGTTGGGGGAGGGCTAAAGCCAGAAGGAGGCTGACCTGTGTAGGAATTGTGGCTCTGTCCTTTCATTTCGGGGGAAGGGGGTGGCAGTGTATGTGTGTGAATGCCTGTTCCTTCCTCTCCTAGGTCCAGTGGAGGAAATCTAATTTTGGAGAAGAAGAGCTTTTAACTGTTCTGCTAGACTGAATTTATTTATTTATAGGGTTGTTTTTTTTTAAATGTCCCCCATATTTACAAGTCCAGACTCTTTTTTTTCTTCCATTGTTATTGTGCTCTCTACCCCTCCCCTTTTGTGTCTTGCTCAGGAGGGGAGATTTACGGCAGTCCCTCTTCCCAGCCTCTCAGATACCTAAAGGGGAAAGGTATCCATTGCTGAGGCTGAAGATAAGCCCAGTTTCTGGCCCAGAGTCCATTCGGGCAAGCCAGGTTAACGTCAGGCTGTGGCTTCGGGTATGCAGCCCCCCACCTTGGACCCCTCCCCAAGTAGGCTGGTGGGAGCTCCGCCTGGCACCGCAGTGAGTCCCTGCAGGCGGCTGTTCACCCAGCCCCGTTGTGGCTTCTCAGTCATGCAAGCTACTGGCCAGCATTGGTTGGGTTGTACTACTCCTGCCTGCACGCAGGGGCTTGTGCACCTGAACGCCCTCTCTCCAAGCCTGCCATGGGATAAGGTTAAATTCAAACATTCTCCCCTGCACGGAGACCCTTTCATTGGGAGGCGGTGGCGATATTCTATTTCAGATGCAGGGTTACCTTCCAGTCTTTTTGCTGGGTGCTCAGTGGGCCAGTACCCAGCAGGCCCGTAGCTACAGTGGGGCATTTTGGGGCCTGGCCCCGACTTCTTGCCAAGGCCCCCTGACTTCCATGCAGCACACAGGCCCCCCAACTCTCTGGGCCACCTGGAGGAGTCCCCGCCGCCGCCGCCCCTTTCCCAAGCACAGCTTGCTTCCCCACATAGGTAAGCAAAGTGCGAATGCTGCAAAAGTGAGTTTTTATTTTTATTTTGTGATGTCAGTGCCCCCTGACTTATTTAAACGCCCCCCCCCCCATTACAAAATCCTGGCCACGGCCCTGGTACCCAGCCTCCTTGTCCACCTCGGCTTGCTGACCCCGCCCAGGCCTTCCTCGATCTCGGGTGTCCAGTCTTGTTGCATTCTCACCCAGTTGGGAGGCCTGTCTTCCCGTGTGTACAGAAGAGTGGGGGTAGGTGGGGGGAAAGTAGTCTCTCTATAGTCCCTGTAAATATTGTGTGTGTGTGTGTGGGTTCCCTGTTGGCGTGCGCGTGGAAGTCCTCCTTGCTGTATTGTGGTCGTGCTGGTGGTGTTTTATGATTTTTTTTTTTAAAAAAAATACTGTGCTTGTTTTTCAGTTGCTTGTGAGTCATCATAAAATATATAATATAGCAAATATATTTAAAAGGAAGACTGAGATGAGGGGGGGGGGCACCATTAGCCAGGCAGTGCTGGCGGCTGGGACCAGAAGGGCCCGCTTGCTTCTTTTTTGATGTCCCTTCCTGCTGCTCCCAGGGGAGGGGGGCTGCTGTTCCTAGCCCAGCTCTCCCCATGCCTGTGGCCATTTTTCCTGCCTGGAACTGTGCATTCTGTGGATGAATCCTCTGGGTGACCAAACCCACTGTTACAGTCTCCTTGCCCTACTCCTCCCCCCCCCTTATTTATTCTTTACAGGGTTTTGTTTTACAGATAATTCAACATAAAATTGTACCCCCCCAACACACCCCTTTTGGGGGTATGTTTACTTCTATGGAATTAAAAACAGCTGTACTGTATTAAAATATACTATCACAAGTGTCAAAAATCAATTTCCTAAAAAACAAAATGACAAAAAAAAATCACTGTACTGAGGCGATATTGTGGAGAAATAAAAACAGCTGATCACAAAGGTGTTTTATTTGTTCGTTTGATTTATACCTCGCCCTCCCTACAAAGCAGGGTCAGGGCAGCTTACAGTGATCAATGTTTCGCATTGAAATCCTTGCAGAAAATTGGACCAAGAGGGAGTTCAAGGGAGGGGCCACGGTTCAGTGGTATCACATCTATTTGGCACACAGGTCCCCGGTTCAATCCCCGGCATCTCCAGTTGACAGGATCTGGCAGTGGGTGATATGAAAGACCCTTTTCTGCTTGAAACCCTGGACAGTTGCTGCCAGTCCGGACAATACTGACCTTGATAAACCAAGGGGTCTGATTCAGAAGAAGGCAGCTTCATGTGAGTTGAAGCAATAAGGAGACCAGAATAAACTGAGCTTCCAGTTGCACTGCTGAGCCACTACACTTCACCTACTCTCAGCTGGGACACTTCAGCTACCTTCGGATACTCCTGCTGTACACCAAGAAGCTTTCATTCCGGGGGGAGGGTCTTTTCTAGAACAGGGCCAATGTCTTACGTGACATAAATGAGTTAAATACTGAGAACAGTCTGCTTTGGGTGGCGTAAGAAGCTGCAAACCTGGATTTATTACAGGCCAGTATGCTGGGTGGGTGTCCCCTCCTCTGCACAGGGAAAAACAATCAGCCTGCGCAACTCCAAGGCTGGGGGGAGGGACCCATAAAGGAAAGGCAATCACATTCATCTTTAATTAGAAAAATCAAAGGCTTGGCACGTCTGACTCCACCCACCCACCAATAAATTAAATCACAAAAGGCAAAATTAGTTGGACCCTGACTTGATTCAGTCCACACCTCATCTGGCCAAATCTTGCTCCTGCTCCCCCAGTTGCCAGTCCCTGGGGGCTTGAGTCCTCCGTTTCCACCCTGCTTCCCTTCAGCTGAGAAAGACCAAAGCCTCTTCTCAATGCACCACAAACTGAATCCCTCTCCAGCTGCAGCACTCGTGATGTGGTTCAGCTGGTGGTTTGGATCTCCATGGCACAGGGTTCGGAATCTTCCTCCATGGTGAGGAGTGTCTGTTTAGGCTGCAGACAGGGGAGAGAGAGGGGAAAATAGCTGACCATCACAGCCAGGTAGCACCGCAGGCGTTCCTTCCCACTTTTGAGAAGCCTCGTTTAAAGGTGAAATGATGGCACAGCTGAATCTCAGTGAGGGGGAGGGGAAACATCCACAGTTAGAGGCAGACTACCTTACTATGTCACATACTGGGCAGAACCCCACCTCAAGTCAGGACCTGCTTATGGATTTCTTAAAAGCCCCCGGCTGGCCACAGCTGAAACCCAGATGCCAGACGGTGCGGTCAGACAGCGTGCTGAGAGCAGGTTAAACTGCACCAGTTCTAACCGGATTATATTTGATCTGGATAATTGCAATCACACTTACCTCCCTTATCCTGCCTCACCGCGCAGTCACATTGCTCCCCGGCGTCTACACTACTGACACGTGGGAGCGTGTGTCGGCAGGTTTTTTTTAAAAAAAATTCCTCAGTTTGCGCATGTGCATAGGCAACCTCCGTAGAAGGGAGAGGAACTATCATGGCGCATGCGCAGAACCACCAGGGCGAATCAATCCAACCCCTCCAACAAAAGACTTCCCTTTAAATGTTTGACCCGAAAATGGCCTCTGTGAGATCCCGAACTCATCTAAACGCTAAAACAAGTGACTGTTTAAATGTCGGTTTTCTAAATGTGGTGGCGGAGCTCTGCCTATGCACACACCGCCAACACATTAAAAAAATGGCGGGCGAAAAGTGGACACTTCGGGCAGCTTTCGAGCGGGGAGGGGGTTTAAACCGGAAGTGGCTCGACACCGCAGGAGCAATCAGACGTCAGAAAAGTGTGGCTAGAACCGGAGAATCAGGAAAACACTACTTGGGGACCTGGTAACAAAATACTCCATTTTAAAGGGGGGTTGAGCCCGAAAGCGACGCTGGGTGTTGGGTGTGCGAACGTGGATATAAAATCCGTTACTGAAGCGTACCGAAAGCGGACTAAATGGCCCATCTGACCGTTCCAAGACAGAACTTGTGTCTACAAGGGACTGCGGTGGTGGTGACTGGCAGAGAGGAATTTCCCCCTTACCTGCCCCTGCAGCTAGGAGGAGAGGACATTCTCTAACCTAGGGCTTGCCTTGCTCTTTTGCCCATTAACTCAGTCTACTTGTGTGGTTTAGTTCAGATGATCAGGAGTGCATCTGAGGAAGGATGGAAGAGGTTTCATCCCCCCCTCCCCCCGTGCTTATGACAGGCCCCACTTACGCGGTGCTTAAGGTAGGAGAGGTATGTATCCCAGCCAAGTGTGATGACATTCATATAGATCACGCGGTACTTTGGGGAGAGGTACAGGAAGTTGACCAGCTGTGCTGGTGGCCAGACACACCAGTCCATCTGCAGAGAGGAAGAGGAGAATGGGTGAGTGGCCCTGCCAGCAGAAGACGGAGAGGGGAGGGGGGAACCAGGCTGACCTTGTAGAACTCCCAGAAGTTGTCCTCCAGGTCCTGCCAGCTGTGAGCCAGAGTTTGCCCCTCCAGGGACCCCATCCCTTTAGGAATAAGAAAGAGAGAGAAATGAGATCAGGGCCCAGATGGAGAGGTCTCCTTACAGAGAAGGATCCCTAAAGCCTTTGCCTCCACTGGGAGGGCTGGTCATAAATACTGAAGATCTGCACACAGAAGAAACTTCAGTTTTTGTGATGAAAATCAAGCATCAGGCAGCTCAGCTACAATGAAAAGAGACAGGACAACTATCTGCTGGAGGGGCCACTGCTCAGTAGTGCACCTAATAGAAAGACTTTTGGGGTCTCCCAGGGCTTCCTTGAGATCTTAGAGCCCAAAGGCCGGTCAGAGCAGACAACACCAAGGCTGCGCCCAGCATTGAAGGGAAGAGCATCTGCCTTGCAAAGACTCTGTATGTCTAGTCCCAGGTAAAGATCATAGCCAGCTGGTGCCTTGAGGAAGACTTCTTGGCTGGAGACCTGGAAGGACCACTGCCCGTGAAAAGGAGGCGGCACTCAGACGGGCCATAATTGAGGATTAGCATTAGAAGAGTCCTACTGGATAAGACCAGTGGTCCATCTAGGGCAGCATCCTGATTCGCACAGTGGCCAACCAGTTGACCTGGAAGTGCGCTCTCCAATGTGCATCACTTCACACTTACCTATTAAACTTCATTTGCCACAGATACTCCTTGAGTTCTTCAGCTGGCCTTGGCTTTCACCACCCTAAATAAGTTGGTTTCCTCCACAAACTTGGCCGCCACACTGCTCGCCCCCGATTTCAGATCACTTATGAGCAAATTAAACAGCACCAGCCCAAGCACCAATTCTTGTGGGACCCCCACTGGGGGAACTGTCCGTTTATTCCTACTCTTTGCTTCCTGTCATTTAACCAGTTTTAATCCATAAGAGGACCTATCCTCTTTTCCCATGACTGCCAAGCTTACTCGGGAGTCTGTAGAACAAAGTTTCAGTCCAGTGGCACCTTGAAGACTAACAAAGTTTAATTTTGGGTATAAGTTTTCATGTGCATGCACATTTTGTGCATGTGCACACGAAAGCTTATACCCAGAATTAAACTTTGTTGATCTTAAAAGTGCCCCACTGGACTCAAACTTTGTTCCACTGCTTCAGACCAATACGGCGACCCTTTTGGAAGTCCAAGTATATAAAGTCTACCAGCTCACTCTCATCCACCCGCTTGTTCACCAGGTCAGCTCTGAGAGGCTGGTGTGGCAGGGCTTCCCTTTGCAGAAGCTGTGCTGATTTCTGCCCAGTAGGCTTTGCTACTTGAGGTGCTTAATCTCTTTTTTAATTACAGTTCCTATTCAGGGGTCATTTCCTACAGGAGCATGCAGGAGCGGAGCTCCGGCAGTAAAGATCCCTGGGGGCGGGCTCATGCAACAAGCCACACCCCCTGCTCCCAGCAGCCCCCAGTCAGAGCAAGAAGCAGCCAGGTAAGTTGCAGAGCTCCCCCCGGCCCAAAACCATCCAGTGGCACCTTTAAGACCAAGTTTTATTCAGGTACAAGCTCTCCCTCCTCTGCGAGGACAGATCTGCACGTCCCCCCCCCCAATAGCTAGCAGTCCAAAACAGTCCAGTGGAGCCTGAGCGGTGGGTGTTGCCTTCTGACACACTTTCGGTGATGTCAGGGGGTGTGGCACATGCAAATAAGTTATGCTAATGAGTTATGCTAATGAGCACCTGCACCCCTTTTTCTACGAAATGACCCCTATTTATGTGGAACGGTTGTTAGGCGAACTAGCCTACAATTTCCTCCGTCCCCACTGGACCCCCTTTTTAAAAATGTGGTGGGATTTGCTATTTTCCAGTTGTCCAATAGGCTGATTTTAGCAACAAGTTACTTAAATTGATTAGTAGGTCAACGATGTCATATCTGAACTCTTTAGAGACCTCTAAGCCCGCTCGCGGGGAGGGCGGGGTAAAAATGTTAACAATAAATAAATGGCGTGTGCCAACCATGTGCAGAGATTTTCATTTTCAGCTTGTGCATTAGTCCTGGACCTTTGTCCGTCACCTCAGTCTGACTCAGTTCTCCAGATGTCCTTCCTGAAAACGGAGGCTCTATCTGCCCAGCATTTCCATGGGGGAAAAGAAGCTCAAGGAACTAATCAGCTCCCCTGCCATGTCCCCATCTTCCTTAAGTAATCCTTTCTTTCCTTGGTCATCCACAGGCCCAACAGCCTCCCTAGCTGGAGAGCATTGCAGAGCTCGCCAGGGTCTGACTCGACACAAGGCAGCTTCAAATTTTCCCAGCCCTATAAAAGGTAGCACTTCTTGTCACAGAACAACAAGTAACTGAGGATGTTAAAAGCCCTGTGTGGCTAAATCTTACCCAAGAAATACCAAACTCCCAGAGCCGGAGAGGCCACTATCTGGTCAATGAAGACCTTTTTCAGGACAGATCTGATCCCACTGAGCCCAGCAGCAGGGAAGGCACCATCCAGCCAAAAGTACCAGTAGTGCATCAGGGGCCCCATGCTGCAGCCGACAGCAAACATCCGAGCTGCAAGAGAAGGAGCCTCGGTTATTGCTACGCTACAAGAATGGATGAATCCCCCCACCCCCACCCCCGGAGGCAGGGAAGTGGTAGCCAGAGCCACAACTGATGGTGCCAGTTAAGTCCAGCCAGTGGCAGGTTTTCTGTGGCTGAGGCTCCAGAAGGAACGGATGCCACATTATCCGCCCACAAACAGCCTGGAGGAGGCGTGTGAACTTCAGCCTCACACAGCTTGCCAGGAAGGAGGGAGGCACAAGGATGGTCCTCCAAGGCTCCCCCTTTGACAACTGGGTCCTCCTTGTAGGCCTGCTTCAAAATCCCCTAAACAAGAGTCTGTTGCTTCGGGGGACGGGGCAGGGCTATGGGGGAAAAAAGTCACTAACAGGGTGCCACTCCCAACTGAAGTGCGGCTGCCCCAGAGGTCCATGGAGCTGACACTACTCACCCGTGCGGGCCAGATCCCGCTTTCGGTGGGGCTCCCGTCTTCTCTCCCAGGCTTGCCGCAGGGTGTCCCCAGCCGCCAGGAGTGCCCCGCAACTGAGGGTATTGGTGACGAGCAGGAGGCGGCCTCTGAAGAGTGGCTTCCAGTAGACGGAGAGCCCGGCCACCAGGGCTCGGCCACGGGACAGCATCGTCCTCCAACTGGCGATGACGCCACAGCTGCTGGAAAAAGGTGGGGAGGCAGAGCAGGTGTCATGACATCAGGGTACCCGAATGATGTCAACTGGCTGAGATTTTATACATTATAAATAAATTTGGAATTTAATTATAACCAATTAGTAAAAAATCCTTTTGGCAGTGTAAATTTGGCACTGTAACAAAATGAACTTGGGTTCTGGACTAGTAACTCACTCCAGTGTTTAAAAAAACACAATGTTAGGAATTTATTGACAAAACATAAAAACATACAAGTTGGGGAATAGAGTGCACAGTGGAACAAAGACAAAACAACAAACCCATCTAACTAACCTCTAGACACTGACCCTAAATGGCTTACTGCTCCAAAGCAGATGTCTTGAGTAGCAGTCCTTCTAGCAGCAGATAATGCAGAAGAGTGGAAGTTCTGCAGAGAGTGAAGGCCCTTCTTCCAGCTTCACATGCTCTTCACAAGTCTGCATCCATCAGCATAATGCTAGCCCCTCTCTGTCACATCATTCTGTGTCCTCTGGCTTCCTTGCCCTACATGCTTGCCCAGCTGTCTCTTGCTAATTAAGCAACCAATCAGCATGATCAATGATCTAATCTAGCTGATCTAAGATGAGATCTAGATCACTAACTCTCAAACTGACATTTGAGCTGTGATGCTGTGTAGATGACCAACTGTCAAATAATTACTCTGACAGTTCCCAGCTGCTAGCAATTCCACTGTAAGGTAACTTACTACAGGTGCTGCTAAGTAAAACATTTCAATGCCTTAGTAACAATCCAGAAAATACTTACACATGGCTTTCTGGTTGTCACAGGACAACAATTCAAAGATAAATGCAAACACATACACTAGGGAATCATTTTAATGACAGCAGGGAAGATAGGGAAGGAGAGAGAACATAAGAACCTAAGAGAGGCCAAAGTTGGATCAGGCCAATTGCCCATCCAGTCCAACACTCTGTCACACAGTGGCCAAAAATACCAGGTGCCATCAGGAGGTCCACCAATGGGGCCAGGACAGTAGCAGCCCTCCCACTGTTGCCCCCACCCAAGCACCAAGAATACAGAGCATCACTTGCAGCAGACTGAGAGTTTCTATCTATACCTTGTGGCTAATAGCCACTGAAGGACCTCTGTTCCATATAAGAATGTAACAGAAGCCATGTTGGATCAGGCCAGTGGCCCATCCAGACCAGCACTCTCTGTCACACAGTGGCCAAAACCCAGGGGCCATCAGGAGGTCCACCAGTGGGGCCAGAACTCCAGAAGCCCTCCCACTGTGCCCCCCCAAGCACCAAGAATACAGAGCATCACTACCCCAGACAGAGTGTTCCACCTAAACGAACATAAGAGAAGCCAGTGTTGGATCAGGCCAATGGCCCATCCAGTCCAACACTCTGTCACACAGTGGCCAAAAATACCAGATGC